GATACTCGCATTCGGGCTTCATTTCGCACGATTGATGCACGATTTACGATACGAGTTGGTAATCGCGAGGGAGTTAATCGTGCAGGATGGGAATCACTAATTATTTGAGGTGATCGCGTTTTGCGTCTCTCAGCAATTGTCACGATCGCGGATCGTAAGATATTACGATGAACACAGACTCACGCGGCTGTCTGCCTGTTCGACTCACAATAAACAATAAACGATAGCGACATCTCCGCCGTACAATCACCGTTGGTGCAAAAATTTAAAATGTTACAAATGTAAATTTTGAGCGTCCCTCGCTTCGTGTTTGTATTGGATCTTTTTGTGAATACGCTCCTCGTATCTCGGCTCAATCTCGACAAGCCGGATTATCATGCCCCGCATTTTGTGATCTCGTTAACGTCGCTACGCAATTGTAAATGCAACAGATTCATCTATGTAATATTCGTAATATCACGGATATGAAATTGATTTTCAAATTGCAATTATTAAGTCACAGCATGTCTCGGGATTGGCTTTGAATTTTTTTGAGGAGAAATGCGTTTTTTTGGTTTTTTGAATTTCTTTGAGGAAAAGTGCAGTTTTCTGCAACAAGGTATTAAGAATAATTATCCGTAATGAGTCTTAATTAAAATTAATGTGCTAATTTAAGACATCTATTTATACTGAGAATGACAATAAAACTTTTATAAACGCAAAATAATTTTTAATCGGTATCTTTAAAAAAACAATCGCAATCGAGTCTGCTAAAATAAATTTTCACTTATAGATATTTACACCTTTCCATTTGCGATTATAAAAAGAAAATTAATTTAACCTTTTTAATTTATTCTTAAAAAAATTTAAGATATACAATGTCTTGTATATCTTATTTGATTGTCGTTAATATTCTTGCGCGAGAATTCCATAGTACATAGCGTTCTTTATCACGGTAATCTCTACAATATTGCGTTATCCTCGAAGCATCGAAGAGCCGTACATCAAATTTTCTCGAGAAGACAGCGCAAACCTTTTTACTTTGCAAAACCAATTTATCACGCCACGGGTGTTCGCTCCCATTTCGGGCTTACAACGAAACAAGCCGGGGGAACGAATCGAAGGTGCATTAACGCGCGGTGGAAATCCACAGCGGCAAAGTTCAAGGCTCTAGGGGGGTACTTATGCATAGATAAAAGCACGCCGGCGGAATGGCGGACGGAGTTTGATGGCGAAACGGTTCTCGCACGTTTTCTGCGGGTAGCCGAGAAGAAAGCGCCACGAAAAAGCGCCGCAAACTGGGAGCGGTGCGGAAAAGCATTCAGGAATCGCGCGGATAGTTGGCGGGAAAGTTTTCGCGAGTGACGAAAATTTTACTAACTGCATTTTGATGAGACATGATAGATTTGAGAGACAGAAGTTGCCACGTACTAGTTAACAAATCAACAATTTTTTGCTTCAAACTACCCGCGCGGCAAAGTCAAAATTAGTTTGTAACAACAAATTTAAAGAAAATATGATATAAATCATACCGCAAAATATTTGGACTCTCTGTTTTAACATAATTTATGTGGAATATCTATTATGCTAAATATATAGACAGATCCCTATCTCTTCTCTTTCTCTCTCTTTTCTTAAGAACACGGATGATGTCTTAAATGTAGTAAGAAATGTTTATATAATAAAAGGAATACAATTTCTTACAATAGTAGAAAATTTACTTATTTTCTTACTAATATTTTTTTCGTTACATAAATAAATCTTTAACTTTGTACATCTCTCTGATTAATAAATAAAAAGCGAATTAGTCTTACAAATGCTATAATTGTCATGATTAAATATACACGTAACATGGCTTATAACGTTAATAATGTATATATTATTAGCGATTACCCGATTAATTTCAATTCGTGAACCGATGAGGTATTTTGAATTTAGCACAATGCACTAATACGCCAATAAATG